AAGTGCAGCCAGACTCCGCAGCAGGGGCTGGAACAGAGACTCTCTAGCGGGGACCCTGCGCGCTGCCCAGGGGATAAGCAGAGAGACAAGGGGCGGGGGCGGTTATATCTTCTATAGGACCAGCTGGCAGGGAGGGGGGATCTCTCTGGTCCCAGGCACAGGGCAGCTCAGATCCCCGGCCCTGCGGCCGCTTCCTCCCGACAGCGATTACCTCCCTCTGTGGCTGTTTCCCTCCCGCCCCGGAGCCGCGTCTGCCCCGCTCACCGCCCTGCCGGGCCCGGGGCTGCAGCCGGGGACTGGCCCTGCGCACACACAGGCCGGGAGCCGGGCTGGGGACCCAAGTGTCGGTCGGGGCTGGCACAGGAAGGTCCCTCTAGTTATTACGTCCCCAACCCGGGCCGGCTTCTCCTGCTCTGATCTGGGGTGAGGAACTCGGTGGGTTTAACCCATCCCTCCCCAGACGTCAAGGGAGCGGATTTCTCTCCCTCTCGGGCCTCTGGCTGCCTGCGGGAGTGAGAGGCTGGGTCCACACAGGATGTCAAGCTGCTTGGAGTGGCTCATCAACGTGGGTGCCAGCCTCAGGGCCGAGTGATGCAAACCAGGGCACAAACCCCAACCCGGTTGTGTGTTCTATTACATAGATTTCACCAACCTAGTATCAAATGTGAACTCCTCAAGCGCTATAATAACTACTTTAACTGGAGTCACTGGCAGTTGCCATGGGCACTCGGTCTAGCTTGCCCCCCGGGCAAACCTGCTTTTGTGAGAGATGATCCCTGACACCAAAAATTACAACAATAGTCAGAAAAAAACGAGGAGTCCGGTGGCACCTTAAAGACTAACAGATGTATTTGGGCATAAGCTTTCGTGGGTAAATTGTGGACACAGACTAACATGGCTACTCCCTGATACTTGACACAATGTTCAGGTTACTCGCGGTCCCAAAGGACCAGTCACTTACCTCAGGTCAATTGCACCTTATATCTTCCCCCAAAGACACCACTTGTGGCCAATCCTGTAATTAACTAAAGATTTATTAACTTAAAAAAGGAAACAAGAGAGTTATTCACAAAGTTAAAGCAGGAAACTTACACACACAGACGAGTTACCGTCTTAGGTTCCAAAAAGTACATAAGAACATAAGAACGGCCGTACTGGGTCAGACCAAAGGTCCATCTAGTCCAGTATCCTGTCCACTTGATGTTCCACTCCACAATGGTTTGTCTGGTGTCTATGGGCTTTCTTCTGTTGGGCAGGAGGTGACACCTCTCGTGGTAAACGAGTATTGCACACGTGGTAATGCTTGTCTCCTGACTGTGCGGGTTTTCAGTTTCATAGCAAACAATTTACTAGTTACAGAGCAAACACTTAACTATCACCTTATAACAGAGGATACAGATATTATCATTGAGATCAATGCCTGCAGCAACTCACAAGCATTTTAAAAAATCCAAACACAGAACATATTTCTATGATGCTAATATATATTTTAACAATGCTAACACACAGGTGAACCAGTCTGGTTTCCAGCTATGCAGTTGTCAGTATTCAGGGAGGCCATGGGCATGAGCTGGCATCTTGTCTATTGGTGTCACAACACTGTTCTCACAAGAGTTTATTGGGGAAAATCCCAGCAAAGTGAGAGCAGCGTTTGGGTCTTTGCTGGCAAAGCAAAGCTCTCCCACCATTGGAGAAGGGTTCAGAGAAGAGCTGCAGGAGCTAACTGAGGTCTGCAAAACCAGCTCTATAGTTAAGATTATATTTTTATTGGTAACTGTCGATAAATATCAGTTTCACCATCCGCCCACACCCACAGATGAAAAACAATTTCCATTGTAATAATAAAAATGTGCAGCTAGGTAAGGCAAGAAACATGCTGCTTGAGAACTAGAGTTTGATTTAAGGCTCCATCCCTTGTCTATTTTGACATGTGACATTGCCCGTTAGTGTTTTAGTAAATATAAAGCTTTAACTTTTTTAATCTCGAAGTCTACCGTCATTAAATATAATTATTGTCTGACATCTCCCCCCCCACACCTTGTTGGACCCCCTCTAATTTCCCACAACTGTGAAAAATTGAATGAATAAATATTGAAAAAGTTGCTGCAAACCAAACCGATGTGATCCATCAACATTATTTTAAAAAATAAAATTCTGCCAAGCCTGCCAATAGCGAGCCACCAAAGGAGTTCAATGGGTTTAGTTTATTCAAGAGAAGGTTAAGAGGTGACGTGACTGACATGGGGAGGGGATTGCTGAGAGCAGAGGGTTCTTTATCCTCCAATCTAGGCAGAGCACGATGCACTGGCTGGGAGCAGAAGGGAGACAAATGGAGGCGGGGAATTAGGGGACAGTGTTTAGCTGGGAGGGGAAGGAACCATTGGGAGAGCTCCTCTAGGGAGGAGGTGGGTTGTCCATCACTGGGAGTCTGTCGGTGGAGATGGGGCGTCTCTCTCTCAAAGCTCCGCTCTACCTCAGCCAGGAGTTACTGGGCCAGAGGCAGGAACCCTGGGGGAGATTCCTGGCCTGGGTTAGGCAGGAGCCTGACGCAGATGGGCACAATGCGCCCTTCTGGCCTTGAACTCCATGACTCTAAATCCAAGCTGTTATAAATGACTGTGGGGGGGGGGGAGGGGTAGAGGTTGCCCACAGAATAAACCAGGAGTTTAAGAGGGAGTCTAGTCTCTCAGGTGTTGAGGGAGAAACTTCCAGTCCACGTGTCGAGGCTGCCATGAGATTTTGCCAGAAGA